AGGATCAATGGGGAGAGAGAGAGAGAGAGAGAGAGAAATAGAGAGAGAGAGAGAGAGGGGGGGGGGGGGGGGGGGAGATTAGTGGGAGGGGATGTCGACATGGACCCTCCCTTCACCCGTATAGACAGGAGACTCTGGGTCCACCAAACAATGCGGAGCCTGACACAGCGGAAGCCTGAAGGTGTCTGAGCACTAAGTGTCCCAGCCTTCACCTGTGCGCCTGTCACTGTCAGCTACCGCACAGCTTGTCCACCAGCGATACAACACACGCAGAACTTTGCACTGTCCTGTCGGATTACTGCGCCTGCGGATTCACACGATCCCTCAAGGTAAGCAGAAACTCTACCCCTCTCTTACTTCACCTGATCCTGGTCTCGGCCACTCTCTCTGTCCAGCTTCACACGGGTCAAATTCCACATGGCCGCTGTTGATAAGAATCCCTGCTCTGACTGGGGCATTGTGTGACTGCTGAGCTCCCGAACACCGGGTTCGAGGCTTGGGGTGGAGCTCAGCCTTGTCTCGGGGAAGGTGTCAGTGGAGGTTCCAGGTGGGGGCCCTGCTCTGCAGGTGTCCACCCAAAAGCTGGGATTCACATCTGAAAACTTCAGCGCTGGTACAGATCCTCAGATTTCTGCTGCCAGTCTGAGACGAAATGTTACACCTGCCTCTGGTGGCACTCCTGTTTCTACATCCAGACAGGCTGTCACTCCCGGTTTCGCATGGAGGACGGGTAAATCAGTCACCAGAAAGAGGCAGGGCTCGGTTTACTCATCTGCCACCTGGTTTGTCATGTGCCTGAAGGAGTCTAGGATTCCAGATCACCGCTGTTACTTTCATGCAGAACTTTCCAGAAGAACTCTACAATCTGGCACCTTTCTTAACAGCTGACTTTAAGCAGATCATTCTATAAGGTCATTCATGCAACTGAAGTACAATTACCCAGTTTCTGCGTCTGGGACGAGGGTCACTGATGTGTGCAGAGCTTTGCGCCCAGTGCAGCGAGCCTCTCCAGAACATACCTCAGCCATGCTGCCTCTGCATGTGACTCACAGCGACTAGAGGGTCTCTGAATAAACAGGTGTGTCAGTCTGGAGGATAGTGAGGAGGCGACGCGAATAAAAGGGACATGTGCTTGTGGTCGTGTGCTTGTGGTCGTGTGCTTGTGGTCGTGTGCTTGTGGTCGTGGCCCACAAGAATCCCGCTCAGTGTTTCAGGAATTCTGAAGCCGTGTGTACCATCAGCATCACTAGAGATTTATTAAAATGGGGGGAGGGGGGTCTGATTTGAATGAAAATGAGTGAGAACACACTATTTAATACTAATTAGTGTAGATTTATTTGGAATGGCCAAACTCCCAAGTTTTTGGGGACACCGTTAATATTTTAGAGGGGGAGTCTGTGAGCTGTAACTACGCACATTAACCTGCTCCTCGTGTTCCACACTCTCTGTTAACGTTTGACTCTTATGCAAACCCAAACATCCGTCCAGAGCTGGTTGTGTCGGTTGTGTTTACCTTTTTTTATCCTGTCTTCCCTGTTCTGTTATAATGTCCATTTTATATCCGTTTATTCCAAAACCATTTTTTTCCACTTGGAAACGGACAGCGAGATAGAGACTGAGACGGACTCTCATTGTTCTGGAAGCACCAGACCGGGAGGCTGAGGGCTTGACCTGTCTGAGATAGTCCTCAGGTTCCTTTTGATCACCCCCCCTCCGTCACATAGCTCTACCTACTACCCAGATAAATAGCTCTAACCATTTTGTCTGTGTGCGTGTGTGTGCTGGTGTATGTGTAGAAGCCCAGATTGAAGCCACAGCCACACAGGATGACCTGCATGATAAAGGATCATTACTGTCCCCCATATTTATTAACAAAGGAGGGGTCAATTGGAATTGTATAATCAATCTAACTATATGACCCTTAGTCAGTGCCTCACTCCAGGCAGCAACATAACACCCCAAGAGACAGTGTCCAGGGGGGGTCTGACCCATCCAATTACATGGGGTGTCAGAATACGGACCCAGTCACCCAGAACCACACCTCATGACAGGCACAAGAGGCCTGCGTGTTACGGTCAGTCCCGGCCGGTACAGGTGGGGCAATCCCATCGAGTGCCTGCGTGTTACGGTCAGTCCCGGCCGGTACAGGTGGGCCAATCACATCGAGTGCCTGCGTGTTACGGTCAGTCCCGGCCGGTACAGGTGGGGCAATCCCATCGAGTGCCTGCGTGTTACGGTCAGTCCCGGCCGGTACAGGTGGGGCAATCCCATCGAGTGCCTGCGTGTTACGGTCAGTCCCGGCCGGTACAGGGGGGGCAATCCCATCGAGTGCCTGCTT